ATACATTCGGTCATTGAAAATCTACCCTTGGATTTATCCGCCCACGGTTTGCCAGCAGCAGTCATATTCGCAGCAGGGCGCACCCTCACGGACATGCCCTGGCGCCTGGCTTTCGTTTTCGGTTCGGCCTTCTTCTTCATCGCGGCCTCCGTCACGCTGCGAGCAGCCTTCGCCATTCCTCAAGCAGAACCTGTTCTCCGTGAATTCCCCGCTCCGAAATCTGAGAATTACCCCTCGGCCGTCTAGCTCGAGCACGGAACGGCTATGGCTGGGCAGTGGTTTCCAAGAATTGCCGTCGCCAGTGCGATGAGAACGACATGTCGCGGGCACAACCGTGGCGCGAGGTCGAGCGCTCCGGCAACGGCTCGTGAACTCAGGTATACAACACACATCTTACGTTTATCTTACGTAAGTCAACCGTAAGACGCGTTTGTCTTACGTAAGAGCAGGTGCGTCTTACGACTGGCTTGCGTAAGATAAACGCAAAATCGGTTATCATCCCCGATCAAAGACAAACCTTGTGGGCACTGAAACATGGCTGTCATTTGTTCTGGCGCGCGCGCACCGGGGCCAAACAAACGGCGGGTTGGGGCGCCCGAAATCGCATCCACATGCAGCACGTCGGGCCGCGCGGCCGCATCGGGCTCACCAGAACAACAACATCTGCCCCGCTGCATCCTCCTGGTCACCCCCACCCCTCCCCCTCCTTCCTGCCCCCGCTCCCGCCCCGCCAGCCCTGTCCCGACAGGTCCGTGATCTGGGGCCCCTTCCCTTTTACCCCCATCTTCCCCCGCTGCACCATCCAACCCTGCTCCTCCTGCCCAGTTCGAGGTTGGTCTGGGGGGGGCGCGCATGTCGTTGGTTTGGGGCGATTTGTCCTTGGGTGATTTGTGTTTGGGCGATTTGCCGTAGGGCTGATTGCGCTGCGGGCGAGTTCCCCTTGGGGCGACGCGCCTTTTTGGGGCGATGCGTCTTGCGAGGTCTGGTCTCGAAAAATTTGCCTCTGGGCGAGAGCGGGACTAATATTGACGGGGAAGGGGGTCTGACTACGTCCGTGGAGGTAGAGGCGAGGTCGGGGCGACGTTGAATGAATAGAGGTTGGTCGAGGCTGGCGGAGGTAGCGGCGAGGTGGAAGCGGGGTTGGGCGAGGCGAGGGCAGTCGCGATGCGTCGGCACGTTTCGACAGCGGGGCGCGCAGCCGCGACGTCGAGGGCCGGGCGTGGCGCGACGGCAGCTCAGATCGCTTCCACAGGCGAAACACGCCAATAATGTGCCTTCCCCGACAGCAAGCATCATTTGCAGGCCTGTGAAGGCCTGTCACCCCATTGGGTAGTCAACCAGACTACACCAGGAATTAATACCTCGCACGCAACAGACTTGCACTCTCTGTTCCGAGCACGTCCTTGAAACAGGATTGAACTTCTTGGGCCCCTCCCTGCGAGACTCCTCATCCATCATGACCCTTCTGAGAGACCCCCCCTTATCATGCCACCCCCTCTATATAATAGATTCCAGGAGGCTCGCCCTGCACGCAACGGCAGCATCCTTATACAAATCGCTCTCACAAGCACGCTTCATAATCTGCACGATAAGCAAGCTGTACTGGGGCGATTGCGACTCGCTCACCTTAACGGACAAGCGAGGCTTTCCGTTCTCATCCTTGAAACATATATACGAAACCCGACTCCCGCACGTGATTGTCAAGGCCCCGAGGGCCGGGTGTTCCCCCGACCTTGGGCGACCAGCACAATGGGCAGAGCTTCGACCTGATCCAGCGCCTACAGTCTTCTGCTTGGTGATCGTATTCTGCTGCGCGGTCTTCCCCACCTGCTTCTTCTTCCCCCCCCCTGTGCTGGCAATTGATATCCTTGAGCTGCGCCTGCGAACTCTTGACGGGTGCAAGTCGGGGCAGGAGGGCCAGGGCACAGTGAACGGGCGCAGGTGAGGAGCGAGCGGGGCGCGGGAATAGCGGGGGAGGCGGGGAACGCAACAAGTTTGACGTGAGAAGGGCACGCGGGAGAGGGGGGGATGTCAACAGCCAAATCATGACGAGGAGAGCGCAGAGTGGGACGGCATGGTCAAGTTGAGTCCCGGGAGGGCGCTCAGGGACACTCGCGGAGAGCGAACGGCTGGACATGGCTGGGTTAGAGGTGGCAACATAAAGGGAACGTCAGAGGGGCAGCGCACGTTGAATTGGGCGGGGGCCTCTCGGGGAGGATTCAGTCGACTTGGCAGGGAAGCGCAGCCTCCATCATTATTCTCCTTGTCTAACTGTCATCCCTCTCTCTCCTCCCCCTCCCCATCACCCCCCCTCCCCCACGTCATCCGCATTCTCGGCACCCCCCCATCCTCAGTCATATTCCGCATTATTAATCCTCCGTATTGTCCTCCATTCTCCTCCATTCCTGCATAAATTCCCCCCTCCTCCTCCTCCTCCTCCTCCCCCCCCTCCTCCTCCTCCTCCTCCTCCTCCTCCTCTACCCCCCGTCCGGCCTTCAACTGCGCCTTCTTGGCTGGCACGGCCTTCGCCTTGGCGGCGAAAGAGAGCGCCCGCTCGTCGCCGTCGGAATCCCACAAGTCGCTGTCGTCGGCCTGGCTCACGGCGACCTTATGATTGGTGTGCTTGGCCTGGCTCACGGCGACCTTCTTGTGGCCCTTGGGGTTGGGGGTGGAGATGGGCTCGTCGTCGGTCGCGTCAGCGTTGCGCTTCAGCCAGCGGGTGAACTCCTGGCCAGCGGGGGGAAGATGGGCGGACGACATCGGAATGGCAGAGGCGCAGGAACGCAAGATTGCGCAGCAGGTGAAGACGGACGAAGGGAGGGGGGAGGAAAATCGAAATGGCGAGCACGCACACTGGAAGGGGGAAAGGCCACGTGGGCAACATGCGGCGCAGGAGGACAACGGAGCAGCAACGGACAATAATGGGTCAGTGACGATATGTAGCCGAGGGCTTGCTGTCATTGCTGCTGCTGCCTCTCCTCCATATCAGTCTCCTCCATCCTCCACCCCCTCCACGATATGATCATTCGCCCCCTCCTCTTCTCTCGTCTTCCTCCCCGTCAAAAAGCGAGGGCGTTCGAGGCGCATGGGCCGCCGCCCGTGCCAGCTGCCAGCTGGGCCACTGCCAGCTGGTCACTTGCGCTCGCCGCCGACCTTGTCCTTGCTGCCGCCGACCTTGTCCTTGCGGCCGCCGCCCTTGTCCTTGGCGCCACCCATGTCCTCGGCGCCTCCCCGACCTTGGTCCTCGGCGCCACCCTCGGCCTTGTCCTTGTCATTGTCCTCGCCCTTGCCGACGCCCCCCTGCGGCGGCACCCCGCGCCGCGTCTCCTCCACCACGCCGTCCTTCCACGCGAGCCCGACCAGCTTCCCCGTCTACCCCTCGACCGTGCACCGATCCCCCCACCTCTTCAGCTCCGTGCAGGTGTTGCCCTTGTCGGCCGCGTCGACCTTGGCCTTCCCGACCTTCGAGACGTTGGCCTCGTCGACCATGCGCTTCGCTGGCACGCCGCCGCGCTGCAGTCAACCAACATAGACAGGGCGCACGACGAGGACGCAAGGGCCTGGGACGCCCTTTTCGAAGCTTTCCGAGCGGGGCGCGGTCAGCGAAAGCGGCGAAGGGTGGGCCGAGGAGGCAAGGATGCAAAGGTTGCCCCTGGGAAGGCTGCACACCCGCTGCTTTGTAGGTTGGCTGTAAGTGGAGCAAATAGGCCGAGATCGTCGCCCGACCGAGCTGCAGCCACACGTGCTACGGAGAGAAGGCGGATGGTGAAAGAGCGCACACGATTGGCAGACGATGGGGCCCCAAGAGAGCCCCGAGATGGCTCCAAGTATCGAGGCACACGCGAGCTTAAGATACAATTATCCTGGCGATGGACACAACCATATGCAGTTACGAGTACCGCAAAGCAGGTTGAACGAATGAGAGGGCGCTCCCTATGGGGCCACAGACGTGTGAGGGGTGCGCCGAAATGGGTGCGGTGCCGCCATGCGGACGCAGCCATCGGGGCCCTCGGCGGAGCTCCCTATGGGGCCACGAAGCGCGTGGGGGGTGTGCCGAAATGGTGGATGGAACCGCATGCGGACGCAGCCACTGGGGCCCTCGGTGGAGCTCCCTATGGGGCCACGAAGCGTGTTATGGGTGTGCCGAAATGGGGGGGTGGAAACGCATGCGGACGCAGCCACTGGGGCCCTCGGTGGAGCTCCCTGTGAGGTCACGAAACGTGTGAGGGGTGTGCCGAAATGGTGGGTGGAACCGCATGCGGACGCAGCCACTGGGGCCCTCGGTGGAGCTCCCTATGGGGCCACGAAACGTGTGAGGGGTGTGCCGAAATGGGGGGTGGAACCGCATGCGGACGCAGCCACTGGGGCCTTCGCTGGAGCTCCCTATGGGGCCACGAAGCGTGTGAGGGGTGTGCCGAAATGGGTGCGGCGCCGCCATGCGGACGCAGCCACTGGGGCCTTCGGTGGAGCTCCCTATGGGGCCACGAAACGTGTGAGGGGTGTGCCGAAATGGGTGGGTGGAACCGCATGCGGGCGCAGCCGCTGGAGCCTTCGGTGGAGCTCCCTATGGGGCCACGAAACGTGTGAGGGGTGTGCCGAATGGGTGGGTGCCGCATGCGGACGCAGCCGCTGGGGCCCTCGGTGGAGCTCCCTATGGGGCCACGAAACGTGTGAGGGGTGTGCCGAATGTGGGGTGGAACCGCATGCGGACGCAGCCACTGGGGCCCTCGGTGGAGCTCCCTATGGGGCCACGAAACGTGTGAGGGGTGTGCCGAAATGGGGGGTGGAACCGCATGCGGACGCAGCCGCTGGGGCCTTCGCTGGAGCTCCCTATGGGGCCACGAAACGTGTGAGGGGTGTGCCGAAATGGGGGGTGGAACCGCATGCGGACGCAGCCACCGGGGCCCTCGGTGGAGCTCCCTATGGGGCCACGAAACGTGTGAGGGGTGTGCCGAAATGGGGGGTGGAACCGCACGCGGACGCAGCCACTGGGGCCTTCGCTGGAGCTCCCTATGGGGCCACGAAACGTGTGAGGGGTGTGCCGAAATGTGGGGTGGAACCGCGTGCGGACGCAGCCACTGGGGCCTTCGCTGGAGCTCCCTATGGGGCCACGAAGCGCGTGAAGGGTGTGCCGAAATGGGGGGTGGAACCGCGTGCCGCATGCGGACGCAGCCACTGGGGCCTTCGCTGGAGCTCCCCACGGGGCCACGAAACGCGCGAGGGGTGCGCCAGAATGGGCGCGGGAGGGGGGGGGCGGGGGGAGGAGGGGGGGGAAGGAGGAGGGAACGCGGGGCACCGTCTCCTCAAAACGAGGACCCAACACCGCAGGATGGTTGGGAAATCAGCGCAACGGCCATTACGAGTCATCGAAACACCACTCGCCCCTCATCGAAGCACCATTGTGGCTTGCACCGACTTCTATATTAAGCTTCAATGCGGGATTTTCATCTTAAGCTTCAATGCGCGACCACTGTGCCCCCGAAGAGGGCCGCGCGACTGCATGCATTTACCAACTCCCCTGCTGGTCGTTTCTGGATGGGCTGGTGGGGGTGCGCGAAGCGCCAAGGCTCCAGGCCCACCCACCTTCGCCAGGTTCCCCAGGGGATATCAAGAATTCCCCCCAGGGTTGGCAGTGGGACGGGGCGGGGCGGGGCGGGGGGGACCGCGCGGGGACTGCGCGCAGGATTCAACGCAAGTGGTGCTGCCGCGAGCGGCGGTGGCAGTGGCGATGTTATGAAACTGGCCAGTTGTGGCTAAGATGACAAAGTGGCGATGGCGGTGCGGATCGGATGACGATGTGGATGATGGCGATGTGGATGATGGCGATGTGGATGATGGCGATGCGATGTTGGAAGGCGGTGACAACCTTGCCAGTGGGGTGCCGATCGGATGACGATGTGGATGATGGCAATGTGGATGACGATGTGGATGACGATGCCACGACGATGGCGGTGTGGATGACGATGGTTCCGCCTCATGGCTGCCCCAGTCCAGCCGTCGGCCTCGAACTGTCGGCCACTATCGAACGATGCGACAGCGCATGAGCTGTCTGGAAGACGCGGGCGGCGGCGGAACGAGACCCGCGCAGACCACTTCAAGCTTGCATCCCGCAAGTCTAGAGCGCGCGCCACCGACCGCCTCCATCTTCGCGAAGTACTTGCCCTACTTGTTCCAGCACGCGAACTCCATCCTCGATCAGGCCATCGGCTCGATCGGGCCATCGGCTTGCCATACTTGATCCAGCACGCGAACTCCATCCTCTCGTCGTCGCCGGTCTCCTCGCCATCGCTGGCGACGAGCGTCGGCGGTGCCTCGGAGATCGGCTGGCTGGCAGACGGGCCCTGCATGGCACCCTGGCCACTATGGCCGACTGGCGCGGCCGCGCCGCCCCCGACCGCAGTAGGCGTCGCAGGAACAGGGGGCCAGTGCTTGCCAGGGGCAGGAAGATCTGGCATGCGTACCTGCTCTTCTTCCGATGAGTCCACGACCTCACGCTGGTTGACGGCCGACGGCCCACCGCGCATAGGCGGGGCGGGGCGCTGGTGATCTGGGCGGCGACCAAAGCCGCAGCCCTGCCCCCCCCCCCCCCCCCCCCCCCCTCTCTCGGGCAACGACGCTGCCCCCTTCGAACCAGCGCCCGTCGCCCGCCTACGCGCGAGGAGCCTTCGGACGACAACGAAAGACCCCGGCGGGGACGATCGGCGCGACCTCGCCCGCGAACGGCATGGGCGCGTGCGTCGGCGAGCACTTCTCGGCGGGGCTCTTGCTCATGATCTTCTGCTTCTTTGCTGGCGGCGACGCTGCTGACGAGGTGCCATCCGAGGCGCCCGACGAGGCCTCCGCGGCCGCGGAGCGCCTCGGCGACGCAGCCGCCTCCTCGGGCCCCGCGGGCGCAGGCGCCTGCCGCAGCAGCCTCGGCGACGCAGCCTCCTCCTCGGGCGCGGCCGCGGCAGGCGCAGAGGCCGTCTTCGGGCGGAGTCGCAGGAATGCTGGCCCAAGAATCCTCAAAGGCCTGCTCGGGAGGCGTCACGGGGCCTGGCCTGGTCGGCAACGCCGATTCGTCGCCAGGCTCTGGAGTTGGCGGCAACACGATCTGGAACCTCGTCTCGACGAAGCATGGCCGCGGGACAGGGAGCACCTTGTGACAGGCCATGACGCGAGGCCGAGGGGTGACGCATGAACACTGCAGCCAAAATGGCAACTGTACGATGCGTGCGATGACCTGATCGCCGACGGCGACGGCGCCCCAAGGGGACGAACAGGGAGTGCGCACGAGCTTCACGGATGGAGGGCAGGTCCTTTTCAACATGTGGCTCTTGTCTTCGCGCCACGCACATTCGTCTTACAAGCTACCATCAGTTTCAAGGATTATTAGTGAGGAGGCGAATGTGGAGGCGGAGGACGATAATGATGATGAGGGGGGGAGGGGGGGGGCAGGCGACGACGAGGTGAAGTACAAGAAGGATACGTGAGATCGGAAGGGATGGGGAGGGGGGGTTGGCGGGCCCTCGGAGCAAGGAGCCCAACCGCTCCCCCCCACCCCCCCCCTCACCCCCCCCCCTCCCCCTCACCCCACCCTCCTCCCCCCGATTCGCCTTCGAAGGGCTGTGCCACCATGCCTCCTCATCAGCATTCTCCTGTGCTGTCGCCTCAGCCTCGTCTCATCCTCGCCCTGCCCCCTCGCCGTGTCCGTGTCCACTACTACTATACTTACTTACTACCTACACCACCACCACCGCCACCACCACCCCACCACCACCACCACACACCACCACCACACACCACCTCTACAAACTACTACGAGTACTACCACTACTACTACTACTACTACTACTACCACCACTACTATTACTAATACTACTACTACTACTACTACTACTACGACTACTACTTCTACGACTACTACTACTACTACTACTACTACTACTACTACTACTACTACTACTACTACTACTACTACTACTACTACTACTACTACTACTACTACTACTACTACTACTACTACACTACTACTACTACTACTACTACTACTACTACTACTACTACGACTACTATACTACTACGAGCACTACTACTACTACTACTACTACTACTACCACTACTACCACTACTACCACTACTACCACTAATCCTAAGACGACCACCACTACCACGAATGCTACTACGACTACTACTACTACGACGACTACTACTACTACTACTACTACTACTACTACTACTACTACTATTGCTACTATTACTACTATGACTACTACGACTACTACTCTCATTTCTACGACTACTATTGCTACTACGACTACGACTATTACGAATGCTACTACGGCTACTACGACTACGCATGAAACTATTACCATTCTTTACTCTGACGATTACCCTTACGCGTGCTTTTACTTTAACCCTTACGCTTTCCACCACTATTATTGCTACAACTACGCCCACTACTATCATCACGACTACTACTACTACTACTACTACTACTACTACTACTA